TGCTCTTTAAAAAGGATACTTCTGTGGGGTGTGCCTGTAACCCCAGCATTCTGGGAGGGTGAGGCAGGAGGATCACAAGTTCAAGTCTAGTCTGAGCAACTTAACCACTTAGCTGAGACCCCGTCTTTTAAAAAAAAAAATTTAAAAATGTATTTGATACAGGGTTTTATTATACAGCTTGGACTCATAGTGATCCTCCTGTTTTCAGCTTCCCCAGTGCTAGGATTACAGGCATGCACCACCATGCCAGATCTCTGTGGCCAGCTCAGTGCACCCAGGGGTGTGGCCAGTGCAGAATGCAGTACCAGGGATTGAACCCTGGTCCCTACACTTGCTTCAGCAGGTGCTTAGTCTGCTGAACTATCTTGCTGGCCTGAGACCTTGTTTTACAAACTAAAAAAAAAAGAATGGAGGTGCAGCTCAGGGTGATGGCCTAAGTATGAAATGATGATGATGATGATGATGATGATGATGATGATGATGATGATGATGATAATGATGATGATGATGATGGAAGAACCCTTCCGGGATAGGTTTACTATAAATCTATAAAGTGCAGCTTTCATTTCCACATGCAAATTAGTTCAGGGGGTGTGCTGAGCCCCTGTGTTTGTGTGTAAGTGGGTCAGAGGAGCTCCTGACAGCTCTGTCGAGGTACCTGCCACCTTCAACTCCCCAATCTACTTGCACTTGGTGGCAATGTGCCTGACTTGGAGGGTCATCCCTGGGTGTCCCTTGCTTTCTTCTTTCCTTCTTCCTTTTTCTTTTTGCACTAGTAGGGATTGAATTCAGAACCTTTGCCCTGGGCCACATCCCCAGACCCATTTATTTATTTTAAAGTTTTGAGACTGGAAGTCTCCGGCAGGTTGCTGAGTTTCCCAGGCTGGGCTGGTACCTCCAACCCTCCTGCCTCAGAGTGCAGGCGAGCACCCTGAGTCCTGGCCTCCCTGCCCACTCTCAGGAGTAGATTGTGAGCTGCAGGGAGCAGCTCCAAGGTGAGGACCTAAGTGTCTGTCTTTCCTAGACAGTGGTGAGGGAGCAGGTTCCAAGAAGGATACAGCAGAGGTTGGCGGTGAGTCTCACAGACACTTGCAGGACCACGGCCCAGCATTAGCTAGGGCACGCAGGCGCAGGCTGGGGGCTAGCAGCTGCTTACATCACTGTCTTTATTTTTCCACTGGGCACTGCCGTGTTTCCCATCACGGTGGCCTGCTGTCCTTGAACACGGGGAAAGGACACAGGGAAGGTGACTATTTCAGACCTGTCTGCTTCTCTGCTTCTCTGCCTTCTGTGCACTGGTGAATGGCATCAGCCTCTTGCCTGCTTGGCTTTGTCCAGTCTGGCTTCTGCTCTGGTCTAACCAGTACCCATCCCAATGCGCTAGAAAATCCAAGCCCCGCCAAGGCCCATGGCCTCCGGTCTGATGGTTTGATTTCTCTCTGAGCTGAGCACACACGCAGATGAGACCTCTCTCCCCCACGGACCCCCGCCCCGCGCTGAGCTTTGAGCTCCCTGGGCCCTGTGCTCTGGGCCTCTGCCTCTCCATGGAGGCTGTGTCTTCTTGGAACAGTCCCTGCTGTGGCTGCAGCTGGCTCCATCCTTTGTGTGTTTGCGTCTCCTCCAGCCAGGCTCCGGGAGGCCCAGGAATCCCTGCTTCTCATTCCAAGGCTTGCGGGCTGCATTTTCTTGACTGCTCAGACTTTCTGTCCTGGATCCCGGGTTCCCTGAGGACAGATGCACTGCTGCTGCCCTGGAGCTCCTATGGGAGGGATGACAGATAAGGCTAAGCCGCAGCACTGTGGCGGCGGCTTTGGTGAGGGCCACAGCCGCCAGAGTAGGCGTGTGAGCACCATGCGTGTGAAAGGCTGCTCACACCTCCTGTCTCCTCTTCCCTTGAGGGCTGGCGGGGTCTTGCCTTCCCATGTTCAGCACGCTGCCCTTTGCCTACTGCAACATCCATCAAGTGTGCCACTATGCCCGGAGGAACGACAGGTCCTACTGGCTGGCCAGCGCCGCGCCGCTCCCCATGATGCCGCTGTCGGAGGAGGAGATCAGGCCGTATGTCAGCCGCTGTGCTGTGTGTGAGGCCCCAGCGCAGGCGGTGGCCGTGCACAGCCAGGACCAGTCCATCCCTCCATGCCCAAGGAACTGGCGGAGCCTCTGGATTGGGTACTCGTTCCTGATGGTGAGTGCCGTCCACCTGCTCTTTCTCCCCACGTCTGTGCACCGGGCTGTAATTGTGTTTTCTGTGCAGACAACAGGAGGACACGGGGGCCCAAGAACCGCTGCAAACCATAGTCTGCGGAAACATGGGCTGCTGTTACATTTTGTTGTCCTTTTTTTTGTTTGTTTATTTTAGCATGTTGGTAGAATTTCCAGGAGGAATTTGCCTCACCCATAGCACAGTTGGTGCTACTTTGTGAGCACACCCAGCACGCTTCCTATTCCTTCTTCGCAGATTGCATTTTGGTCCTGATAGCACCATTAATGAAAAATGTCACAACCAGGCCTAGGCCCAGGCTGTCTGCATGTGTCTGAGCCCTAATCCTTTTCTTTCTTCTGGGTAGCACACAGGAGCTGGGGCCCAAGGAGGAGGGCAGGCCCTTACCTCACCTGGCAGCTGCCTGCAGGACTTCCGAGCAGCACCCTTCCTGGAATGCCAAGGCCGACGGGGAACCTGCCACTTCTTTGCAAACGAGTACAGCTTCTGGCTGACCACGGTGAGGCCAGACTTGCAGTTTTCCTCTGGACCATCACCAGATGTCTTAAAAGATGGCCACGCCCAGCGGCAGAAAATCAGCAGGTGCCAGGTCTGCCTGAAGTACAGCTAGAGAAGGCGAAATTCCCCAGCTGTGGCTAGGAAGCTGCCCAGGGAGCCAAGGCTTCTCCCAGGGCTGTGTTAGGAAGCTCAGCAGTGCTCATTCAACCCATAATCGCAGCCGCCTGGTGCTCGGTGTTAATTCCCATAGGCCTCCACTTCCTCCTCTGTCCTCTACTGACTAAGCCAATGCTATGTGTGTGGGTTTGTTTTGACGCTCAGTCTGGATGAAATCCACACACCCTTATTTTATTGAGGATGATGGAAAAAATAGGCTTTATTTGAAAACATGCTAATTCTCAGGAAACAAGTAGATGAAAAAGGCCGGATCACAAATTACATTACGGAAAACTTCATTCATTGGCTAATGGCATCTCAAACAATTGAAGTCAATTACTTTACAATACAGTGGGGTTCTGCACAGATTTTATAGGAGAAAATAAATAGGCCAACAAATGAAACTAGAAAGTAGAGATTTTCAACATTTCAAAATGATTTCGTCTATAATCTATTTTTTTCCATGCACTTTAAACAATTGTAAAACCATGACCCAAAGAGATTAAAAAAAGAAAAAAAAATCTACACTGCCAGCATTAACAGTTCATTTCAAAGCAGAATGAATGATTATGCCGGGAAAGCTACGGTCGCTGTATTCCAGAGCTGCAACATTAGCATAAGCTCATCACAGATGAATATAAAACATGATGTTCCCTTCTGCACTTTTCAGAGAATAGAAATGCCTACTTTGGCAAGCCTTTTGAAAAGTAGCAATTATGGAAGAAAATATATTCAGTAAGGGATTAGGAACCTAAAAGCTATTAATGAATATTAAGTTAGTGATTCATAGAAATTGACTCTCCGTGTCAGTGAATTTCTGAACAGATTGCTTTTCACGGGGACCCATGTGTCCTTGGAGCTAATGAGACTGAGGCCACTTGGGGGTCCCTGACAGCACTCCCCAGGAGGACCTGGGGCTGTGGAGCTTCCTTGCAGCCTACAAGGGACACTTTGCCCCCATATATGTAACAGCAGACCATGAGGAAGGGGCAGCCATCACCGTGCGCTTGAAAGTTCAAGATCAGCTTAATTAAACTTAGGTAAGACGATTCATCGAAGGCAGGGTCATCTCCCCCCACAAGGAAGGCCCGGGACTATTCTTTAAAAACATACAAGAATAATCTACAACTTGAACTTTATGTTCCTCTGGTGAGTTTACACAGGAGCACTGTGTTTTGACAAGTTTTTCAAAACTTTCCTACACTTCACGTTAGCCTTGAGCCAAGGCCGCAGTTGACGTTTGGTATTAGTTGTTTCTATAAAACTCTAGAAGGTATGTCGGTTTATAATGAATGCATTTTTTTTTTATTTGTAAAAGATGTGTTCTATTTTGCCAAGAATCTAGTGATCTAATCTTATAATCAAATGGTTTGTTAGACTCTCTTTAGGAAATTCACCTCCTTCCTCTACAGAAAATATCATCTTAGAGGAAACCAAAGAAATTACTCATGAAAGTGACATTCATTTTAGTACTTAGTTTAGTGCACTTAAACATAATTGAGAGAAACTCAATTAAAATTTGGTTTATAAGAAATGTTTTCCTTGTTCAATTTTGATTACTAATGAGGTCTTCTCTGCAGCATAAATTTCAAATGGGTTTTGCTATAAGCCACTGACGGTATTCATTTTAAGAGTATTTTCTCATTAAAGAAAAGTTATGTGTATGATGAGATATTTTCTTGGTATGGCAGAATATTTCTTAGTTCATTGACCTATTTGAGGTTTTTAGAACACTCTATTGGTGTATTTTTGAGTGTTTGAAATTTAACCCAGTTTCTACCTTACTTGTAATTATTCTTCTGTTTCTAAAACCTCTGTCTAGTTCAGAACTCAAGCCTCTTAAAAGTCTTCTCATGAACACAATGTGCAAATGTTGTTTGGAAGAGATTAGGATCAGCAGTGGAATATTAGAAATGGCTCTTCCTGCTAATTTATTTTAGTTCGCCCTGGTATCAGAATAGTGTTATTATTATTATTTTTGTATTTTAGGGAAGGGTCTCCTAGTAGATCAGATTTGTAGAGATTCTCCTGCTTTCAGCCTCCCAAGAGCTGGAATTACAGGCATGTGTCACCAGGCCCAGTCTCAATCGCCCTCTCAGCATGCCCCGGGGGCAGGGCCAGCAAGGCAGGCTGGGGAATTGAGCCCCTGGCCCTTGCATCTCTCTAAGCAGGCGCTTTAATCTGCTGAGCTATCTGGCCGACACCTAGAATATTATCTTAATAAGCTTTATCAGTTAAGCTTTTTAAAAAACAGGCTGAATTCAGTAGAAATTTACTTCATGGTAGATCCAGAACAGTGGGTGTGAAGCAGTTGAAAATACCAGCAGCACAAGAGTTCTCTGTAAATGGGTTTTTTTTTCTTTTCTTGTCTCTATTTTATTTATTTTTTCAACCTGTTTTATTTTATTTTATTTTTTTAAAATTTTTTTAATAGATTGCAAATTGAAAATGAATTATTTACAAACATAACTGAATATAAAAATAAAAACTGTCCAAAATAAAAATGAAGAAAGAATTTACAGATCAGTCATAATAGTTCACTGTGTCAAAACCAAGAAACTTATATTCATATAATTAGAATTCTCAAAGTAGAAAGGAGCAGACAATAACTATTTAAAAATTTAAAATTTCTGAATTTAGTTC